AGCTGTGGAAAGTTACGCCAACGGCTGCGAAAACCTGTAGGAATTGAGAGGCTTGTTGGTCAGGTGCATCATGCACGAACCTCTCATTCCTCAAGTCAAACTTTAGGGCTGATAAAACGTTTTCAAAGGTCTCTTCGTGGAGCATTGGGCTCCAACTTTTTAATTTGGTTTGAAAAAGCATCAATGTTACAAAAACCCACAAGGAAACAGCTTCCATGTCAGTTTCAGAGTTTATGGTTGACATAAAACCCGATGCCTTCGAGCGGCCATTCCGATGGATCTTTAAAGTCAGCCAAATAATTACGAAGATTCTGTTTTTGATTGAAAAGGCCGTAGTTTTCTTGGTTCAGTGAAATGTCGTTCCACCTCGTGTAAATTTAATGCAAAGGCCTCTGGGACTATCTTTTCTTCTAGAGAAAGGTAGCAAATTTTATCGCAACACCTCTCACAGTCTTTAGGCCATGACGTCCAAGCGCCCAAGCTTCCAAACTTCAATACAATTTGTTTAAATATCCTTCAACTGACTCTCTTTTCTACATCGTTGCTGTTTTCATAAAAGCCAACAGCTTAATGATGAGGACTTCCCCTATTCTATCGAAGTTTTCCTCCAAGTTCAGGGTACACTATGGACTTCGACACAGTTTCTTAGGTGTGGTGCTAAAGTCATCGTGGATTTGTAAGGCCGACTTCTAACTCTGCTTACCAGCATCCATGGCTGAAGTAATTTTTATTCCTTAGATAAATTTGCCATTTTTGAAAATAATTTTATTAAGAAACGTTTTTCTCGCTCCAGGGCAACGCTTCCGTTCCTTCTTATTTCTTCTCTCTTCTAATAGCAGACTAACTTCACGGTCTTCTAAGTGGTTTTTGCTGAGCTCAAGAAAGTACCGGGACCGAAACCAAGTTGTGAGTGGAACTAGGCCATGTTTAAGAGACTAAAGGGCCAGTATAACATTTTCTAGACCAGTATCTCTAATTTACGAGGTTACACCAACTATTGGGCTCTCGTGCATACAGGATCTACTGAACTCTTTACTTCCATTATATTTGTGTGGCCCTTGCTGAGGTTGGCTATCTTTGGGTCGTGCCTACAATGCTCTCTCGAATATGCCCAGTGCCTTCTTATCCTAGTTCGACTCCTTTAAAGCTTCTGAGCCCTACGTATACGTGAACTGACGAGATGATGTATGCAGAGCGTGGCTTTGGTTCGTCGAGGAGAAGTTTCGCCTTTTCAATAGGCTATCTGGGCTAGCTGGGCGCGAATTGAAATGCTAAAATTAAACTTCGTTCGGCATTGAAAGCCGTGGATGGGTCCTTCTCAATTTTTAAAGGAGTTGAAAGTGGTAATGAACTATGGGTCCGTCAAGTTATGTAAAAAGGACTTTCCGCTGACATCGAAGAAAATACCTGTTTAATTTCCTTGAACCGTTGTTTGAAAAATTGGCACACAAAAAATTTACATACTTGTCTGAGATTCAGAGCCTGAAACAAGTAAGGATTGATTTGAAAAGCTTTCCCTTTCCTTAAATTTGGCGAAGATTATAACTCTGCATTACTAGGAGGCCACTTCTTTTTCATCTTTGCCCATATTTTCCTTCAATGTTTCCGCGAATAAATAGGCTGTGACTATATGAAACTCAATGCTGTGAATAGGCCTCAATTTCGTAATTATCGAAAGTAACTTTTGCTATTTTTTCAACTCTTGCCAGTTTTACATTTACATATGAAGTCAATAGCCTTGTTTACCGTTAGTGTAACTAACCGTATTAGGGTCAAACATGCCATTTACGTTGGCCTTCAGTGTTTAGACAAGCAAAAGCCCAAGTAAGCATAAAACCGCAGATATTTTAACACTTCACATATTAGCTGAATATTACGCGTATGACATTTGTCCTAAGCAAAACCGCTGACCAATTTGCCACCAAATAAACCAGTATTTTATGCTAAATTCGAAAGTGAACCGTTTCAAAATTATTTACTGGCTGCTTCTAGTCTACTCGAGTAGCGTTGGCGCTCAAGGACATGATGGAAGCTGGTAGACAAGCTGGTGATTGCTACTGGTGAGGCTACTCGGGGGGCTACTTGACAGTCATAAAAACGAACAAAGCAAAGATTATTGAAATTCCTACACATTGATATGCTTGTACAATGTACATTTGTACTTGGTGTGTTTGCAACAGCAATGCTATGCGTTTTTATTATCAAATCTTTTGCAGCTTAAAATGCTGTTAGGCCAGGTTTGAATTGGGGCAAATTAGCGCAGTCGAATAATCTGTTTTTAACGACAGTCGGTTGCATGGTTGCGATTTGGTTGATTTTATAACTTTTTGCTTTCATTTCCAATTCAATTAATGATTCTTGTGAACGTTACCGTTATATCATATCCCGAAGAAAAAGCTAAATATGGCTGCCTGGCTGACTAGCTTGCTGCCTGGTTAACTGACTGACTGATTGATTGGTATGGCAAGCAACTGAGGTCAGTACAACTTTGAACTTTTGAGAGGACAAGGATTTTCACACGACTGGAAGGGGAGGTGTAGAAGTAAGGAGGGTATTTAGAACAACTAATAGATTAGATTATGATAGAACAAAATTAGAGGGAGCAAAGGTGATAAGCTTTTTGCGAAAACTGCTAAAGCAATCGTGAATGTTCGAACAAAATTTCCTCTAATATATTAAAGACGAAAGTCCTACAATGTTATACCAAAGAAAAGTATTTGAATTTTGGCGAGTCCTAGTCCGAGTTTTGGTTTCCTAAGTCTTTTGAGAAGTGCAAGCAAACAGGACTTAAGTAGACGAACGAAATAGCCCACAAATAACATAGCTGAAAATGTCTACTTCCAGGAATTGTTGCTATTTTATTAGCCAGCAGGTAGAGGGTATTTAATATATGTAAGCCCTCGTTATGCTCTTTGAAGGTTGAGTTACTGTCGTTAAGGCTTGGCTCTCTGCTGTACCGCGGTATTAGAAAATTTAAGGCAAAAAGCGATAGAAGGCAGAAATTTGAGTTGTTGTGCTGAAGCATAATAGGAGTACATTAATTGAAGCTTTTCAATGATATTTACAATTTTTATTAAAATAGCCTGACGTCTTTGGTTAAAAAATATATTGAGTATTAACTTTCATGACAATTATCTATAACGATTGCGTTTTTATATAACTCGGTACGCTTATTCTACACCAAAGAAATATTACACCGCGCTCGCTTTTTGCCCACAAAAAAAAATGCAGGAAAATGCAAATGACGAAGCTGTCTAGCAGCAACGGTCACTTCTATGTCAGCAGTAGCGGCGCAGCAGCCAGAGCAGTTTTACGACCTGTCGCCGCATTGGCCTAAGCTTTGGCTGATATTCGTGCGCGTCTATATGATATAATAGCCGAATGTGTTGAGAACTCGTTAGACGAGTTGCAGCACGCTAGCCTCACTAATTAGCCGCGCAGCATCTACTGGCCAGAGCTGCAGTAACGGCAACCTTTTGCTGAAAATCGCAAACGACACAGCGCACAGTTCTTTGTTGCATGCGGCAACAAACGGTTGTATGCTCCCGAAAAACGCTTAGTTAAAAGAAATTGAAACGCGGACGCGCTTAGGCACACAGCGCAATTTTATAAATTGAATTGTTTTCGAATTGAAGTACGCGCAAATCAGCAGCGCACGAAGACCTGCTGCTTACGCTTCGGTTGAAGTGTTTCCATTTGAACGCGATGTGTAGAACACAAATCCTTCTCGGCGTCGCGCTTCTCGCCACTTGCAGCAGTTATGCCAATGCGCAGGAGTACAGCGCAGATCTTGAACTGCAGGCACGTGATCGCCGTAGCTTGGATGTTGGCTGGCTGCTGCGCAATCTGTT